AGTTTTCCTGTGAGGTTACTTCAAAAGGCTCTTCACACAAATCTTTCCTTCTAAATAAATATCTCATTCCAAATCAGTAGAGGACTTGAAGTTGGCATCTATTTCACGCTGTTTTCTTTACATTCCAAACTACTTTTTCCTCCAGTCTGGACTGCAAGATTCGACTCGACTTGTTCCCATCGCCATTTTATACAGGATTCCGTACCAAGTTAAGATCTTTAGGAGGACAAATTTCCACTCCGAAATACAGCTTAGGTTTCAGTATGCTACACATCAGATTCGATCTACAAGGACGGCCGAATGCACAAATTATAGTGGGAACTTCGACGATAAGGCAAAATTTGATTTCGTCATACAATTGAGGACATTCCTATATAAGTAATCAGAGGGCTTCACAACTATGAATAGCTCTTGCATAAGATCTTATTAGATTTTTAAAAATATCGCATTATATTTAGCCTAGCAAAGCGCAGGTGTACTTCGAGCTTTTGAATACTAAATTCCTCCAATGCCCCCTTTCGATATATGCATCTCAGGTCAAGCTTGACGACGAACTGGAAGAGGCTGCGGCCTGGAGGTTCACTGACTTAGTACTCCGCTCGGGACGCCCAACTCCCCGCGAGTACTTACGACGACGACTGTCCGACATGCAGACTCAACTTCGATCCAGTAAAGCCGTGCGAGTGCGACGCAATCGGGTGAGCTGGCTTGCCATGGCCGGACTGGTGCGCGATGAAGAGGAGGAGGATTTTAGTAAGCTGGGAAGAAAGGAGATTGATGAGGAAGAGGCGAAGATAGCGAGTATTGGAGGTGAGAATGGGAAAGGAGAGACGACATTCGAGGGAGAAATGGTACGTGTGGTTGAAGCCGCCATGCGTTGGTTGGAGTCTGCGAAGTTGGACGATTTTCTAGCAACCCTGAAGGGGAGACCCGGATCAGGGAAAAAAGTGAGTCAAATTGACATAGAGAGGCAGAACTCTTTTAAAAACTGTATGGAATAAAAATGATTTTGGTAGATACAAATTAAACAAATTACATATTGGTCAAAAAACAGAAGAATATCAAATTATAAGTAATATACTAGCTCTCCACAGTATTAAATATGCACAGATAAACTAGCTATGCTGATATATAAGTTATGTTCACTCTATTTTGTTTAAGGTGATAAAGAAGTGGTAGGTGAATTTCCCAACATTGATAAGAGTAGAGTTGATGTTTCGATTGAACTTCACATTGCCTTGCCTTCCCAAAAGTTGTTTTCATCCAGGGTGGACTGTAGTTTTAACCTTGCATAGGTCAAATCAACACTCCAAGCGAGGTTGAAACTACAGGTTACCATGGATGGGAATAGCTTTTGAGAAGGCAAGGCCATGTTAAATTCAATGAGAACGTCAACTCTACTCATATCAATGTGGGAAAATTCACATATAACTCCTTTATCACCTTAAACGAAATAGGGTGAGCACAATTCATATATACGATTTACTGTTAGTCTGTAAAACCTACTCAATAGATATGCTGAGCCTGACTATTCAAGCTTAATTCACAAAGAAGAAGCGAATGCATTTGATAAATGAGATCCATGCAGCGCAATACGATTCCGATAAGAAGGATAAATAAATTTTATTCTCATATCAGCTACTACTATGCTTGGCTGAGAATAACAAGATGGCCTTTCGTCTAATTGCAATCTAATTATAGGCTGAAAATAAGTTGATTGCTATAGCAAATACAACTTTTCTTCGTCGACAATCCCACCACAGTAATGCGATATGGCGAAGGCCTAGGCGTTCTTGAAGTTTACTTCTACCTTTTTACCCAAGAACAATCGTGGCAATTTGGCGCAACGACAAAGCTATTTAAATTGTGCGCTGCATTACCACAACCCATATTCGAGATTAGATGGAATTGCTAATGAGACCTAGGCGAAGTCGAAACAGCATTCCAATCCAGCCTGGATGAGGATACCTTTTCAGAGGCAAGGCTATGTGAAATTCAATGGAAATATAAGGCCTACTCATAGGATTATGGAAAAATTAAAATATTGGAAACTTGGACGAATATAGTCCGTATGTTATTCCATCATTTACTCTCTTAAAATAGCCAAAAATACTTTAAAATGGAATATTTGTTTGTGTTGTTATCCACAAATTATCTACTCTTCCGTCAGGATATATACTAAAAGATTTTCTAACTGTAATGGCTACTTGTTTATTCTCAGTGTCATGCAAAACACAGCTTTTGCGAATAAAAATGGATATCAAAGAGTTTTCTCTCTGTGGTTTAAAGAAAAGAAATGGATTTATGTAAAAATTGTAAGTAAATTACTTCTAATGTGTAGCTTTAGCTATGGGTCACTCATATCGGTAAAGAAGGCAAGTAACATGCTTCTGAAGAAGATATTTATAACATGACAACAAAATCATTCGATTATGAAAAATGCACATCCAACACTCTATAAATATTTAACTAACCGAAGTGATATTAGATTAGTTAAAGATAAAGACAATTTTTACGGAAGGTCTAGCCGTGAAGATGTCCTTATGGACTAATACATAAAAAATAAATAGATAAAACTCTTAAAACAAAAGACGATGCTAGCAGTGATCGCTATAAGTTGCTAGATTTTTTACTTGAAATTGAGGTACCATGCCATTAACTTGGACCGGAGATGCGCTAATTCTTGTGGCACACAAATAAGAGAATCCTTCAAGTGACTCATGAGGAGCATGCAAGCTAAGAAATAGACACTATAGGCCACCTTATGTAATGAATAGAAGGCCTCAATGTGTCATTAACTTCTGCTTAGTCAGGCTGGGCAGCAGGTTTGATCTGGCCAAGTCGCATCAACGCTCCAGCGTGATCCCAAAATCGGAATATGTACCTCATTATTATATACAAAGTGAGTTAGTTTCAAAAATATCTAAGTAACTTGAATAAAATTGAGTTACTCTTTTAGAATGTAAAACATTTATTTTAATTTTCCACGATAAAATGTTCAATGGATTGTATCGCTTTAAAAGTCGAATTTGCCTATGAGACTTTCTGTTGCCCAGGTTGCATAAGGTGAGGAAGGACTGATAATTGCATTTTCGCACAATTGCATGAGTAGGCTTTACGCTTGCATTGAATTTCGCTTAGCCTCGCTTCCCAAAAAGTTTTCTCATTAAGACTGCACTAAAAAGCATTTTCGACCTCACCTAAGCTTGCCTCATCATCATCCTCAGCGGGAATCAACCTGTCGGTAACATGTGGAGATTATACTCTATTCTAACAGTGTTTGAGTTCCACTGGAGGTGCTTACGAGATCAGTTCTGGCGAGGTTAAAACTACAGTCCAGTCCGGACAGGATGATAAAAACTTTTGGAAAGCATGGCTACTTTTATAATTGCGGGAAAATTCAACTAGCAGTTCTTTACCACCTTATACCATCTTGTTGTTCAAGATAAACTGATCGTTTAAAACAATACTCACAATATATAAATTATACTATATTCCAGAAGCTGAGGATTACAAGTGCAAATTGTACAAGTAAGCTGCATAGAAAGAGGACTTGAGGCTCTTTGTCACGTACTTAAGCTTATTGCAAGAAACCCGCTTCTTCTGAATAATATCATCCTGCCCTGTCTAAGGTCAAAAGGCGTTTCTGAAGTCTTGTCGAATATTTAAACATGAAGGTTCTTTCGTGAAGATAAGGAGTCAATTGTTTTTTTATTAAGTTCCGGCAAAAACTTACGTTTTATACACGGATCTTTTTTTTCATATTCCGCATTATCATGCGAGTTTTTACTTTAATCACAATCGGTCCATTTGAATGCAGTTTATTCAAGGGCCACAAATGAATGCGGAAAAGTAATTCTTTTTCGATGTTTCCTTCAGAGGCTTGATTTAAGCATGTCTAAAGTTATTGCAAATGGAATATCGCCTGCATTCAAGTATCGGCGAGACCTACCATCAAGTTGACAGTGAAATTGGATGGAGGATAGCCCATAAGCCCCCCCAAAACCACGTTCCTCCTATACCAAAGAGCATACGCGATTCAAGCGGAACGAAAGTCCTTGTGATGACGGTTATCACTGACATTGACAGCATGAGCAATTGTGAAATACATGGGGAACAGGAGACTTCTTCTTTCAGCATTTGCGTTGTGAAATTAAATTGTAGTAAGTACTAGACAGTATTGTAACCTTTTTGGCCGAGATAAGAGTTTGCAGACTTGCCATAATATAAACGTAGACGAATTAACTGTGCAAAGTTGTGAACAAATGAAATAAGAGCCTCCAAAAGCTGGAGTACGGTTATATGGCGAGAATAAATAGCGGACATGTGGTGGAGACCTACATATCTGTTTCTAATCTTTCCCGCTGGACCGGATTTGGAGCCAGTAACTTTCTCCTGGCGGCCTTTGTGAGTGAACAGATGTGGTGACGCACCTGTACCGATTTCGAGGAAGCTGTGATTGTTGCCGATGTCTGATTTGTTCAAACATCTATTATCCGCTTTTCTTGGAGCCATTGGAGAGGAGCACTGATGGCCACACTTGAATGATAATCACAAAGACTATGCGTGTAATACATAAACTTCCATGCCATTTATGCTTTATTTCTATACCTGCTTATGATAATATTACTGGATTCAATGTACTATTATACAGACTACTTGATTTTCACAAAGTGTGATCTCCCCCAACATCCATCACACTCACTCATTGAGTTCTTGCAAGTACTGTAAATGAGTTATTTCGCATGAATCCCTAGAATTTTTTGGTTGTAGACGATGGATGATATATGCATTTCGAAGATGGTGCTATCTATCACTTTTATTATAAGCTTTGTTCTCTATTCATAAATTCATATTATCTTCTGAAGATCCTTTCAAAACTAAAGAAGTGAATGAAAGGCTTGTGTCTTGGTGCTAGACGTTGGGCTCTGAACACATTACTGATATTTGTCTACAAGGTGATTAAATTAAAGTATACTCAAGGAAAACCAAAAACATGTATGCCCTCGGCCCAAATTACAGCCTGGCACAAAGTTGAAGGAAAAAATAGCAGAATTGTATTCTGTTGAAAAGTCTAACTACATTCGATTTCCGCGAATCAGTATGACAATTTGTCAAATTCCCTTTCATTCCCCTGAAATCAGTGGGAATTTTTCTTGATCGTCCACTTAATTTGCTTAAACCTTTCAATCTGAATAACAATAAATTTTTACGGATATATATCTGCATAGAATTTTGTTAGCGAAACGCTGAAAGTTAGTTCACAATTTAGTGAAAACGCTTGCTTTTTCCTTCGGATTGCTTAGATCATCGTATTTCTCATTTATGACCCCAGTAAAATGAATTGTAGATTGTATCTGCATCTGCGGGATTTAAGTTGAGCTTAGTCTTAAGGCAAAATTCAATGTTAAAGTGAGTTCTTTTTGTCAATTCCAGGAAAATTTAGAAGTTAAGCTACATCATCCAAATGCTTTTGTATTACCGATCACCAGGCCGATAACATGATAGGGCCTTTGTTGTCCCGGCTAAAATGGATAGTTAACTGTTATAATATTCATTAATAAGAGGTATTTACCAATAAGAAAGCTCCATAAAAACTAAATTTTGCAGAAGAAATAACCAAGGTTTATATGCCGTCCCTCCACTTTAAGATCAGGCCTTTGCGAGCCAGATCTCTCAACCAAAGGCTGGCCACAGACTTTATGAGACCTTCCGGCCTGGCCGATGCTGTTTTGCGTCGCTATTCAGGCCAGCTGACCAGTCTACAAATCAGATGGGCTCGAGAGCTGCTTTCATACCTGCACCATTTTTGCACAGAGATCTTCACCGATTTGGTAATGTTATGTGGACCCCCAGTAGCCGATGCCAAGGCTGATCTGCCAGTGGGATCAAGTGAAGAGTATGGAAGCAAAGAGTTTCAAACGCAGCATAGGAGCCCAACCAATAAGGACCGACTACTTGACTACTTACCTGCAAACTGGACCACCTGGCAGCAGAATTTAGGGGTAAGCTTTCATTTTTAGGGTTTGATGCGACCACCAATTTGGATGCTGGTAGACAAAAATATGGTCGTGGTTGTTGAGATGAGGCCAAATGTCTACTACAGCTATGTTTCAAACTATGCACACTTTAGTGGAAGTTGCTTGTTAAAACTCTCCCAATGCTAATTAGATTTTGAAAAATGTCACGCTTCCAGGCAAAGGTACATATTTTATGCCAAAAATGTGTAAGTAATGACAATATATTTTTTAGCTGACAGGTTTACCCATTTCGATTACTTCTAGTCAGATGATACTTTATCTGCTCACAATGAAGTTAAGGCAATGCACAATTTTTTTGATTGAATTCAATTTGAACATTTCTCCCATAAGTCTGCTTCCATCCAGAGTTGTCTGCATTTACAGCCTCTTATCATCAAGCCGAGTAAGTGATCGAAATAATTTTGGTTCGGCTCTCCTTCTGAATGTTGGCATGAAACTCTAGATGTTCACGATTTTCCTCGTTAACACATTATTGATATGCATAGCAAAATAAAATCCCTTTGCAAAATCTAACCCTCTCTTTACTATCTTTCGGGCAGACTAACTGTATGATTTTAATCATCCAAATATAAATTATTATTATAAAGCTTAAACTGGACTCAGTAAAATTGTTTATATCCCTTTCATATATATTTTGGGTTAATAACGAAAAAAATGAATAAATAGAAAGGGTTGCTACTTGACTCCATCACTAGGTGGACTTGTCTCTAGTTTCTTTACTAACCAATACCTTACAAGTCAAGATAAATTCTGTTATCAGCATAACATGCCCAGAGGGTAGAGAGTGCATTAAATTTAGCTTAATAATATCAACTTAAGCCAATTTACGCCCCAGAATTAAAGATGATGGCTAGCTTGTTCGATATATGGTTCTATCTTTCGATGCATTTGTGACATTCATCATCGCTATCCTGAATTTTCAAAAAGGTTCTTGCAATCAAAAATGGAATGTAAGAATAGTAAAAACAACCCAGCTAAATGAGAGATTAGGACTCATTTTTCTCACCATTAAACAACAAGTACGTTTAAAAAGAAAGGTTGTGAACTTGCACAGAAGTTGAATGTAAGCATGATATAACAAAGCTAGCA